CAAAGGGTTTTCTGTTTGTCTGTTTTCTTTTCCTTTGATACTCATCAGTATTTTTAAACCTGGATTTTTCAGTGTGATATCTTCTGTCGCTTTCATTAATTTTATGCAGTATACTTGTGCAGTAAACTGAAACATTCACAGAAAATGCAGTGCTTGTTCTGTGCATCAGTAATAAATGTGTAATCACTAAAAGAGGGCGAGGATTTTTTTCAATGTGTAAGGTCATATTTCCTGCTTGTGCATTACACTAGCAGTGTTTAGTAGTATATTCTTTTATAATTGCCTGGAAATTTCTGTAAAACTGAGGAACACTTGCTTTGACTTTTAAGTTGCAGTCTAGCTAGCAGCAGTTAACCACTAGAACTGTTCCTAACAGCAGTGGACTTCCTTGCTGTGTGTTTGTCTGTTATATTCAGCATGGGAAAAGACTACAGACTTTTACGTATTCAGCATTTATTATGTAGAACACCAAGTGTAAAGTACTCAAAAACCTGACAGGTATTGTGTTTCTCATAACTACAGATGTTGGAACGCAGAGCAAGCCCTGAAATCAGATTTATGTAACTTGTTGGCTATTTGGTTCCTTGGTAATAGGGAATTCCTTGGTGGAGTTGAGGGATTTAAAGTTTCAGAGTGTCTAAAACAGAACTAACATTAATTCTGGTATGAGAAACAAATCATCCTGCGAGCTGTGCTGGTAATTTAGAAATAATTTTTTCTAAAACTACTATATCTGGAACTTACAAAATTGCTTGACTATGCTAGCACTAGATAGAATATCTGCTTTCTTAGTCAGGTTACTGAAAGTAGAGCATTTTTATTTCCCTGGATTTTGAGAGAAAAGTTGATTCTTTGGGTGTGTAAAGAATTAAATATTTGTTAATAATGCATCCTTTGTTTAAGGACTTTTTAACTCTTCGTGTATACCTCGTTTGTGTTTTTATGTTTTGTGGGTTTTGTTCCTTAAATCAGTTTTCATTCCTTTAGAATGAGAGGCTTCAGGCATTGCTAGCTGATAATGAAAAGATGAATTTAGCAGATATGGAACTTATTCCACTTCCTCTGGAACCTCAGGTGAAAATTAAAGGAATAATCCCTGAAAAAGCCACACTCTTCAAGGTAAATGAGATCTTCTGAATAACAAACAACTCTTCTGAGCACTAAGCTTGGCAACATCAGTTGAAAGACATAAAGGGATAGACAGTTGAAGGAAAATGTAACGGCAGCATGCTCTTAAAGTGGTTAAACAACTCTTTTTTTCTTTCAAGTTAAAGTTTCAGACTTTGAAGCAGGTTTTATAAGACTGATACAGTTCATGAAGTTCAGAATTTCTCAGAACTTTATTCCTGTGTTCAACAGGAATACCACTTGCGGTCAAAATCATGGAAATCAAGTCAGATGTGCTGTACCTCAGCTAGATGTACAAGTCTGTTCCATTGCAAAATAAAACTGTCAGGTTCATAGAGAGTGGAAATCAATAAGGTGGTCCCTTTCATGCAGTTGTAGTCATCTCTGTCCTGTAGATCGTGTGTCCCTATGATTGGTAGTTTCTGTAGAAGCTGCCATCCCTTAATCTTAACAGCCAATGTACTGTTGAAAGTGCTGGGGTTAATTTGCTTATATACTACTTGAAATGGAAGTTACTGCCTGTGATGTAAGTTATTACCTGTCCAGTGATGTAGGACCTCTTTATAAAAAAGTTTGCTTTCAATTCATATAGGTGACTCTAATTTAATTTGACCAAAATATGCTTTACAAGTCAAGCCTGTGTCTAGTAGGCATTCTCTGCTAATTTTTACAAAAAAACCATACAAGTAGTTTTGACAGCCAGTGTTAATCTGTTCATCTCTACTAGGTCCTAAATTTATTGTGCTCAGTAGTTTTAGCATTCTGCTTGTAAAATGAGAAATTACTATTTTGCCTTAACTTTCCACCAGCTTTAGCTTTCTTCTTTATACACTAGTTAGTTGCTCTGAAGGGCATGCTCTTGCACCTTTGGTTGGAGGCAACATTGGAAGGGTTTTATCAGGAAAACAAGGTTCTGCAAGCTTGAGTCAGTGTTTTGTGTGAGTTTGATTTAAAGGTTGGGGAAAGAATGTGGACAAAATGATAGCTGGATCAACAGCTAAATACCAGTAATAATAGCTGAAGTTGTTCAGTACAAACTCGAGTCAGTCTTCTCCATATTGATCTTCTGTAGCAATTGAAAAAATTTAGGTTTAACTTGTTTTAAAATCAGAGATACAGTTTTTTATTTTTCCTGATTCTAAAAGGTAACAGATTTTCATTTAGTATCTCATTCTGTGCTAAAAAAAGCAAAGCCAAAAATGGGAAGAATGGCTAATTTTTGGTGCCCTCAGACATCATGTTAGCTTTTGTAGGACTACTTAAAGAGTAGGTTTGTCTTTATTTGTGGACCCTAATAATTTTAGAACATAACTGAATACGAAAATGTAATCTCACTGCTCAGTATTAAACTCTGTATCCTTGATTATTTTTGTTTGGTTTGGTTTTGAGGAAGTGACTTGGTCAGTTGTGGTAGATTGTGTCATCCCTGTAGGTAATTAGTCCTCTTCATTTTGTGCAGAAAAATTGCAAACAATTAAATGGATTTTCTCAAACAATAGTGCAAAAAGGCATTTTTGCTTTTACAAATTGATAGAAGCAATTAATTGTTCAAGCTGTCTTGCCCCTACCATTTCTCTGTTTATCCCATAGTTGTCTCTCTTTTTGATCTAGTCAGTTTAAATGTGCTTTATTGTGACCTTCCACATAGTGCTTCTTTTTTAATTGCAATACATGCATACAGAAGAAGAATTGAATACTTCTTTCCTTTCCTTTCTGCAACTGTGGGAGGTGGTGGTGGGAAATGTGTCCTTCATACTCCTTGGTGAAAATGGAGGAAAGCTTTAAGGTATTTTTCTAGATCACACTTCTAATAATTGGAAATGATATGCTCTAACTGTTGAGTCAATACAAAAACAGTACCAAAACTTGTATTCCAGAACTCTATTGTGACAGCTTGTTAGTATAAGCATTACTGTGAAGCCGCTTAGTAGAATATTTCCTTTTCAGAGTGCCTTAATGCCTGCTCAGTTATTCTTCAAGACAGAAGACGGGGGCAAATACCCTGTAATTTTTAAGCATGGTGATGATTTACGTCAAGATCAACTTATTCTACAGATAATTTCACTCATGGATAAGGTGAGAATTATTAATCAACGTTCTTGTCTTTCCATTTTCTTGATTTTTCTTGTCAAAAGCAAGACTGTTAAACACTGTTAATGCTGCTTATATTGCTGATACATCCCAGAATCTTCAGATCTTACATGACTTTTTTCTTCCTTTTTTTCATGCAATTTTCCTGTGTAGATTTTTTACAAAATATTTTGAAAAATGCCCAACAGGCTTTCAGTCATTACCAGTTTCTGTGAATATCAGTAAAGATCAATGTCCAATACACATCCTTTTAGAAATAGAAGCTTCATTTCTGTTGCATTCATCTTTGCTTTTGTGTTGGTTTTTTCCAGCTGTTAAGAAAAGAAAATCTGGATTTGAAGCTGACACCCTATAAAGTGCTGGCAACTAGTACAAAGCATGGTATGAATATTTTTATTTCCTAAAAATATAGTATGGAGAAGAATCTTCTTCCTGTGTTCATAGACAATATGTAAGAAAATCTTATTGCACTGTAAGTCATGAAAGTAAACAACCCGGGTGACCATGGTATTCCATTGGTGACTCAAATGTTTTCATAAATGAAGCCTGGTCTGGGTTTTGGAGTATGTGACAATCGGTAGTCTGTCAGTCTTTGCTGCTAGTTTGCTTTGGACTTTGGATTTTAATTTTTTTTTTCTTGCATGAAATGGAGAGGGAAAAACTAACAAAATCACACTTGGCTATGCTTTTAGATACATTCTAGCTGAATATTTAGAAAGCCGTTCATTTATTTTCTCTTCTCCTGCAAACTTGGAACAACAGACCTTTTGCAAGCTAATTTGATGTTAATGACAGGTTGTTTTAAAGTTGAAAATTGGAATATGGAGCAAAGCCACACAGTTTTTTTCAATGAGAAAGAGTTGAATGATAACATGGATTAGTGTTGTCTTTTCATAAAAGTGCATTACGGTAGCTCAGTAACTTGAATGTTCTGTGCATTGGAGATTTTCTCTTTTGGTTGTTTTCCATCACAGGCTTCATGCAATTTATTCAGTCAGTACCAGTGGCGGAAGTTCTTGCTACTGAGGAAAGTATACAGGTATGTGATGGAAGAATTTTAAATTGGCTTCTGGTCAAACAGTTGTAGGCTTAGGTCTTGTTCAAAATTCTTTTAGTCGCTGAAGTGATTTTTGTATCTGTTGTTAGAAGGGAATTTGAAACATAATGGTATTTAGAGCAAATGGTTTGATTTGAAAAGATATATTTAAATGGCCGCTTTATTCTGTCGTAAAAGTAACACCCTTTAAATAATTACAGTGTAATTTAGTTGTGATACTGAAATTCTGGCTTGGCTGTAATGATGAATGGAAAACACTTGAGACTTTTTTCTGTTCTGTTTTAAAGTGGTTCTGTTGTTCATTTGCTAGTTTTGGCTTGACACCTTGTCAATACATGTTTTAATGATTTACTTTTATTTTGATGGAATAACTAAATAATTTGTTCATATAATTTTTGAAGCTTGTCTCTCTGCCGTAGTAGATGTATAGGTAATGTAACCTGGTTTTGTTAGCAAACTTTCTGTAATTCTCATGGAATTGAGTGGGGACGCATAACTGAATAGTGTCACAAAACTTGTGCTAGTTTCAAGCACAGCACACAGGCAAGTGTAGCAGAGTTCAGCTGATTGAGGTCAATATAGCTAGATAAAAACATACAAAATTGCTATACTTTTATGAAAACAGAACATGTTTATTTTGTTAAGAGTACTTTTTTTTTTTAGTCGATACTGAAGTTTGCATTTGTTTATAGCTCTGTAAGTGAGAGCAAACCAGCTCCCAGTTCCTATAAACTACATGTATTAAAAATGGGGAGATTAACAATTGCTTATAGTTTATCATTATAATTTCCTTAATAAATAAGCATATTAAATGTTTATCATTTATAAAAAATGCTTAGCATTGATCAGTCGGTGGCCAGCATCAAGTTACATAATTTTTTTTTAGCTTTCCATTACATAAAGTTTGTGATAAGCTACATCTGCATAGTCAATAATCATACCGATTATAAAGGTGTTTTTTGGCAATCCTTTGTAATCTTGAAAGTATGCTATTCATAATTTAGTCCATTATATGTTTTCGTGAAATAATATATTGAGAAATGCTTATGACACTGTTGTTTGCAATTACTTATGTGTCCTGGTTTATGATATCATATTCTAATTGGAAATAGGTGCCATACTGTTTTAATTGCTGTGCAGACATGAGCAGTTATTCCCATGAAGAATTATTAATCCAAATAGACAAAGTACCAAAAGGATGATTTCTAATTTTGTTTCACTGATCAATGACAAAATACGTTATAGAGGCCAGATTCCTGTGCCATGGCATGATAGAATACATGGGCATTGTAGGCCAAAAAAAGTGAAGATTAAATGAATGCTTTCATGTGTTTCAAAAGTTTGGTTTACTCCTTTTGTGAATGTTCTTTTTGGATTTTGGAGGTATTCTAATAAGGATGAGCACTGCATAGAAACATTTAAATCGTTTCACTTATGAAAAGATTTAAAGTAATCCCAGTATCGGCTGGTAAGGCAGAAAAATGGAAAGAAAAATTGTTCTGGTGTTTGAGTGTTAGTTACCTTCTATCAACAGTCTTAAAATTACAGTTCATGTTTTAGAAGTTCATCGAAATAATTGTCTTAATTTTTTCGTTATGATTTTAGTGACTTAGAACACGCTCCTCTTACAGTGCTTGCTTAGATTTTGCTTAGTAGAAGAAACTTGTGTTTAGACTTGGTTTGAATTTAGTTATTGTTTCTCTTAGTCAAGAAAAAAAAACAGTTTTCTTCTGTCTGATGAGAAGGTCTGTTTTGGCCCTGTCCACATGTCACAGGAAATGTGAAGTTTCCATTTTTTGACGTAGATATATTTTATTTTTATACTTGGTAGCAGCAGTTGGTTTTATTGAGGAACAGGGAGACATATAATAATGATAAACCTTGTAAGAGTGTGTTTCCCAAATGTAGTTACAAATCAGGACTGTTAGTCCTGGTTTTAGTTTTTGTTGATCTGACCTGAACAGTTTGCTTTGGAAGTATTCTCTCTCATGGTTATTGATTATAATTTTTCAACTCATTGTTAATTTTCTGAAACATTTAATAAAGGGAACTGCTTTTCAATTTGAAGTTCAGGTGTATCTGTTGAGTATAAGAGTGTGGTCGTTGAGACAGAAAATAAATAAAGCTGTATTAAATTAGATCTTAATTGGTATTTTGGGAGTGGTTGTTAAGCAGATTGTAATAATGGCCATTTGTGGTCTTGATGTAAACATTTTTTTCTAAAGATTTGGTTGCATATCATGTGGAATAATTAAATGTCTTCATGACATTCTCTTCAGAACTTCTTCAGAAAACATGCACCTAGTGACACAGGCCCACATGGAATAAGTGCAGAGGTGATGGACACATATGTCAAGAGCTGTGGTAAGTTACAGTCTTGCAGCTAGCTGGTAACTTCACATCTGAAGTTTAAAGGATAGAGTGGATTAGTAATTAAGACTTTTTGATTTAGATTACTGCAAATGGAACATTATGCATATATATATTGTGTAACAATAATTATTATTATGTAACATATAATTATTGTGTAACAGTCTCCTCGGTTCTCTTTTTGTTCTTC